TTGGTGGGAATGTACACTAGTACAAGCACCATGGAAATCAGTAGAGATTCATCAAAAACCTAAAACTAAAAATTGAATTTGGCCCAGCCCTTTCACTTCTAGGTATCTTCCTGAAAGAGTTGGAGACATCATACTTCAGGGATACTTGTATAAAAATATTTATGGCACCACAATTCACAATAGCTAAATCATAGAAGAAGCCTATATGTTCATCAACTTATGAATGAAGAAAGAAAATGTGGTATTTACACACAATGGCGTACTACTCTGCCATAAAGAAAGATAAACAAGTCATGTATAAGAAAGTGAATGTAGGGCCGGGGATTTAGCTCAGTGGTTTCATGGCGTGCTGCACAAGCGCAAGGACCCAAGTTCGATCCCCGGTACCAAAAAAAAAAAAAAAAAAAAAAAAAGAAAGAAAGTGAATGTACCTTGACTTCATAATGTTAAGTGACATAAACCAGACATATAAGCTTAAATATCACAAAGTTTCTCCCACATGAGAAACCCAAAGTATAAATGAAGAGTAAAATAAAAGCTAAATAATAGGAAGTAGGGAGATACATCGTTCTCAAAGGGGAATGTTATTAAGAAATGGTGGGAAGGGAAAGAGGACTGAAAAAACGAATTTAAATGTGCTAAGTAAATGTACCAACTCTACACAAGGAATGTAAACATTACTAGTGCAAACATCCCTCCTTCCCCCCAAAAAGGAAGGGGATCAAGAGTTGGCTGCAGGGAGGAGAAAGGGAAGGGAAAGGGTATACAAAAAGGAATTAAGATGTATTATGCACATGTACCAACTCCTGACAGAGACTGTAAACATTATATACTATAAACATGTATTAACAAAGAAAATGATCTGGAAAATGAACAATTAATGGTCATACCAGGTAAGTCTGAGAGATGGTATATTGAAAGAATATAAAAATATAAGTAAAAATCAAATTACCTGCCAGTTAAAGGAAGATTCTTGCAATCTTGCTGAGGCATCATAGATACTTCAGTGACCTCAGGGCAATTCCACATAGGTTACTGGGCCTGTTTGCCCTGGCTGGTTCCTACCCTGTGACCTATTGTGAGAATTTACCCTGACAACCTCTGCAATGGATAATGGACTTAAATGAATATTATCTAGATTTGAGTCTTGAATCAGTCAATCCCTGTGTGGGCATGTCACTGGGGAAGTTATAACCCTCATAAGCCAGTTTTCTCATCAATAAAATGGAGATGAAGATTGGACCACAGAGTTGGTACTGTTTACCAAGCTGAAGTACACAGAAAGTCTTTAAAATCTTTATTAAATGTTCAGTATAGGCCCTGGGTTTCATCCCAAGTTCCAAATAAAGACAGGGATCATTAGGAACCACCCAGTCGCAGTCTTGTCCTCATTAGCTGTGGTCATGCCCATGAATGTAGCCACTGCACTGGTGGTGGCAGAGATGGGAAAGATGGAATGTGGCTGCCCCAGCTTCCCAAAGAACATGATCAGAGATGTCTAAGAAAAACAATTTTTTGTATTTCAAACTTTTAGCTACGTACAAAGAAAACATTTGTCTACTGGGAAAAGAATTTTCTGAAATTTCATAGAAAACAAATTAGCAGGAAATGTGGTTTCTCAGGGAATTAGTAATGAAGGCTTTCAACCCCAGCTTGATTAAAAATGATGACTCATTAAGCTGGAAATTTGTTGTTGGTTAAGGAGTTAAGGTAAGGTGTCCTTCTTCAGCCTGATCAGTTGGGGCCAGGCAGGTGCGGAGCAGCCCACTCCAGGCCCTGCTGTCTGCTGGCTGTGGAATGACTGGGTGCTCACCAAGTTCCAGACTCTGGGCTCCCACAGATCATTAGTTCGCTAAATCCTCATTATAACCGTCCAGGATATTTCCCCCTATTTTATAGAGTTACTCAGAGACATGAAGTTCCAGGCTCAATGACACAGCCTTGAAGCGGCAGTTCTGTCTGACTTTGTTTTAGTTTTAGTTTTTTTTTTTTTTTTGTACTGGGATCTAACTCGGGACCTTGCACTTTCGAGGCAGGCTCTGGAACCACTGAGCTAAATCCCCGGCAGTTCTGTCTGACTGTGTAGCACACTTTTGATCCTCTAGCAGTTGGGGCAAGGTCAATGTACAGTCACACTAACTCAAAGAGCCCAAGAAGCAGTTTATTAATTTCCTTTGGCTTTTGGCCAGTCACCTGACACCAGCATGCCTTCCTTATGGGTGTGGCCACATAGGACAGTAAATTATAGATAAAAAAAGTGAATCTTGTGTGAAGAATTAGATTGCTTTCAAAGAACATTTCCACTTAGCCACAGGTTTGCATTGCATACTCTTCCCCTGTCTAGAATTAGGATGATAGCAAGAATGACCTCCATGGTGACTGTACTCCCCACTCTCATGTAAACGCCACCCTTTTACTAACTCTGAACACCTTTGTGGCAATACAGGCAATCGTAATTGTTGTTTGTTGTTCGCATTCCAGTCCTCAAGATCAGCTTTGAGTTTGGGTTGCTTAAGTAATATCTTAGAACAGGTGAAGTCCTTGGCCAGTCCACTGCAATCACAATTCTTGAATTGGTGGCATCAGCCTATAAAAATGATAAAATACTACAAACTACAATATTTAGGACACATTCAGTAGAATGTTTTACCACTCACTTAGCAGAATCAACTCACATAGTATATATACCCAAGTCCATAAAATTATTTTATAAATTAACAGTAGTTAACTAAACATTCAACTCTGAACTTAAGCAAACCCATTTGCTTAATTATACATATATATATGATACACAGACTTAATTTAATGTATATGTGTAATATCTTAAAATGATGCTTTACTTCCTAAATAGCCTAAAAAAAAAAACCAACTTACTGCTACTGATTTCTTACCTTGTATCACAAGCCAAAAGTTGATCCCACCTATGATTATACTACAACTAAATGCACCTCATCATTACTGCACAGCAGAATGTGGGGAGATGCCTTATTTTATTCTAAGGAATCAGAGAACAATGAAGCTGGACAGTGGACCTGCCTTAAGGGGGACTGCTGCCTTGTTTGTCCTCTCAGCTTTCTTTGGAGGAAGTAAGAAGAGGGAAAGGGAGCTTGTCTCTCACTTGGTGCCTTTCTATTTTCATCCCCGTGGGATTTCATAAAACCTACAGAAAATTAAGAGCACCATCAACATTTTACAAATCCCGAACCATATCCACCCACTGCTATGCAGGTTTCTCTCTAACAATTGCAACCATAGATCTTGTTTCTTTCCGAACAACCATGTGAGCTAAAAGTCTACAAGATACAGACTATCTATTGCTGTAATGGGCTGAATGGGAATGGAGACATTCTGCTCTCCAAACACCATCAGTTTTGCAAGCAAGGCATCTGCAGTCCAAGAACTGCTGGAGGTTCCAGAACTTCTTGGTAGGGACTTCATTCATTTTTCTGAACAGTTCTCTCTCATGCCTCAAATCCTCATCCTGCACTTTAAGAGCTACAGACCCCTCTCAATTTAGCCCTGCTCCCCTCTAGCACCTACAGTATTACAATGCTTGAAACATGGAAGCAGCTCAGTAAAATAAGGATGGGCAGAAAGAAAAAGAGAAAACCCAGAGGGATTCAGGTCAAAATCTAGAAGGTAAGCAGAAGAGGGATTAGAACTAGAGAACCTTGGAGGATCAGAAGGCAGCTGTCATGGACTGGTTAAATGCCCAAACTCTGAAGTTAAGCAGAGCTGGCTTTTTCAACAGGCACTCAACAAATCTTCCTTGGGGACCTACTTCGTGGAGTGGAAGCAGTTGTTTGCTGGGGGTGGGGAGTAGTTTAAGCAAGATAAGCACAGGCCCTATTCACAAGGAGCGAATAAAACAAGTGAATATAGTTTATTTCAACTAATGACAAATGCTATTAATGAAAAAAAATAAACACAAGTGTAATGTAACAAGGGCGTGTGTGTGTGTGTGTGTGTGTGTGTGTATTTAGACAGCATACTATGGGAAAGCATCTTTGAGGCTGTAGCATTTAAGCTGTTACTCTGATGGCCTTGGTTTAGGGATGGCCAGCTGTGTGACCTTGGGTAGGTTATTCAACCTCTCTGCGCCTCCCTTGACCTCCCCGTTTTCCCATCTGGATTATGGAGACAACGGCAAGCACTTCACAGAAGAATGTAAAAGTAAAGGGACCTAAACCATCTGGCACACGGTACATACTGTGGTTATTGCCATTCTAGGACGGTTAGAGCCCTATGCCACGTGGGGGATCAGAAGAAAAGCCAGAAATGCAAGGTGTGCGCGGGACAACTAGCACATCTGCTCCCTAGCAGACTGCGAGTTCTCGGGTGGAGGCTAGGTGGTCTCCTCTTTGACCTCCAGGCTTCGCTTTTTGCCGGAGAGACGCCAAAAGCTAGGATGATGAGAGGCGCGGGGGTCTGAGCCACCCGGTCACCTGGCAGTGGCTCGCGACCATCCGCGGGGTGGATTGTCCCCAAGGCAGCCATCTTGGGTGCTCTCGCGGCAAGTTTCGTCACGCAGCGCTGGGGACAGCACTGCAGGGTGCTCGTGGGCGTGGACAGATAAGCCCCCCCCACTGGGGGGCGAGACCCACCCTACCACGAGGACTCGAGGGGCGCCAGGGCCTCGGGATGCTAGAGGTGGGGAGCTGACAGGGAGCGTCATGAAGGGGTCCCCAACGTGTAGGGACCCCAGGCCCGCGGCATCCCAACCCGGAGAATGGGCTTCTGCCCTCCGAGGGTCTCCCTGCAGCGCGCCGCGTGACCTCAGACTGCGCCCCAGCCTGCGCGCCTCCGCCGGGTTCCCGCGCATTTTGCACCCGGAGGCTCGGTTCGCCACCCGCGACTCACCGCTTCCCCCGGCCGCCGCCCGCGCCGCTCGCCGGTCCCACTCAGCGCCGCCTCCGCCTCTACCGGAAGCGCCACGGCGGCCCCGCGCGGTGCCGCCTTGGAGCGCGTCCTCGCGAGCGCGGCACTGGGAGCGCGCGCCCCGGCGCGGAGGCCTGGAGGCTGGCAGGCCCCTCGAGCCTGCGTCTCAGCCTCCCTGGCTCCAGGCGGGACCCCTCGTACCACCTTTTGCTTCTGGCTGCTTGCCTGGCTCTGGCTCCATAATGAACCTCCAGTTTATCCTCCGGAGGGTGGAGGGCTCTGCTTTTCATTTTGGCCTCCCTTATGGGACTACTCCTTACTTACTCATTTCTTCTTCCCAGAGCCTTCCATAGACTTGGCATCCACTCACGCCTTAATTCATTTAGACTCTTTCCCAAAGTGTAGTCTTTGGCACTACCGCCGCTGCAAAGGGATTTTAGGTGGTACCAACGACCTGCTTTACGTCACCGCGGCTGCTGTAAGGAGGCTCGGCCGTAGAGGAGACCAAGCACAGACAGAGGGAGTTACTTATGGAGGTCACGCTGGTTAAGCAGCACAGCGTCACTGTCTTGCACCACGTTGGTTACAGTGCAGCTGGTGAGATATACTGGATCCTGGACGTATTATTCTAGGGAGATGAAATCTAAGAAACGGTGAATTCTATCATGTTAATGGAAAGGGATTCCATTTTTAACGAAAGTTTTTTTCCCCAAATAAACTGTAAGTGTAGTGTTATTTAAAACAGAATTCGGAAATCGCTAATGTGTGTGTGTGTGTGTGTGTGTGTGTGTAACTTCAAAAGCTGACTGTAAGATGTATATGGGAAAATAAAGAGCAGTCATGCAGCTAGACAGTGGCAGGTGATGGGGCCCTATAGGTGCAGAAGAAACCTGATCCGAGTTGGCATCACAGATGGGGGGAGAAAGGTGAGATATTTTTTAAACAATACTGGGACAATTGAGTCCCCAACCTTATCCCATACACGGGACTCAACTCCAGGTGATTTAATGATCTACATGGGAAAAACAAAACTCCCCAAATTCAAACAGTATTTCATGAATATTTTGGGTGATAGTACTCATCCTCAGAATTCCTGGGAATGTTTAGTGTCTGTGCTAGGCTCAAAAAGATTAAAAAAGAAAAAAACCCTAAAGATGTTCTTCCTTTTAAAGCAATAGGCCAAGCGATGGTAATCAGCACTTAAAATAAATGGTAACAATTCAATATAAAGGTTGCAACAGTATAATGTGGGTTGGGCAACTAAGTTCTATGTAGGATAGGGAAGGGTTAGACCCAGTTGGCCATCTTCAGGTGCAGGTGTGATATAGTAGATACAAATGTATCAGTTATCTGTTGTTACATTACAGTCACAAAGCCTCAGAGTATACAACAATAAAGGTTTATTTGTTCCTGTCACAGGTTGTGTGGGCCGTTTGGTCATCTGAGCTGGACTCTGGAACAAGCTCTGCAACACTTACTCCTGTATTCATGGATGGCTGCGGGCTGTAGGCGGTTGTGCTGGTCTTGTCAGGGCCCTCTCATGTGCCTGGGGCCTTAGGTGAAACAGCTGGGCTGGCTTGGCCCTGCTCCACTTGTCTCATTCCTCTAGCAGATTGGCCTGAACATGTTCACATGGCAAAGGCAGGAAAGGGAGAAGATGTGCTTAAGGCCTCTTGAGGCCAAGGCTTGGAACTTCACTTATGCTGTAGCCTGTTGGTTAAGGCAAGTCACAAGACTAGTCCCATATTTAAGGGAGAAATAGACTTTATTTCTTGGTGAGAGAAATGGCCAAGCAATATTGTACAGGTAAAGAATTGGGGGTTATTGCTATTATTTTAAAAATTCTTTTGTGTGTCACTTTTCCCTTTACAGTCTCCCTATTTCTTCTGGGGAACACCTGTCTTCCCTCATTTCATTTGGTCTGGTCCAATTGTCAATCACAGGACTTTACTTTCTCATGCCTGGTGCAGTCATGAGTACATGACCCAAGTTGAGTCAGATAGAAGCCTGTCTTGAATTTATATGTTGACACTGGGAAAGAGCCTCACTCCTTCCTTTCCCCTCTGCCACACAAGAAACAAATATTGGGATTGCTAAACTAAGAGAACATGAATTAGTGGCTGCCAAAATTTCTCCTTTTGCCAGTCCGCAGAAGTGAAATTGAGCTGAAAGGTGTGAGATAGAGCTCAGATGACATCACCCAAACCTGTTGGCTCAGCCAACTCTAAAGCCAGATCTACTTCCCAGACTTCCAGTTATGGGGCCCCTGAAATCTGCCTTATCCATCCTCTCTTCTTTTCTTTTTCTCAGTTTGTTTCTTTGTTTCTTTTAAAATTTGAAGCTCTTTTGAATTGGATTTCTACCCCTGATTGACTGGGGGATTTGCAGAGGTGATGACATTAAAGCTGAGTGCAATTTAATTTGAAAAAATAGGAAAAGGAGTTGGATGAAGGAAGAAGAAATGAGGTGAGCATTAAAAATAGAAAGCAGGTATCTATATGATTGCACCATTATTTTAAATAAAGCTATTACAGAAACTGCTTCTATGAAGTGGAAATGCTATTTTCATTTCATGCTGAGATGGGGTGCATGGGAATTATTGCTAGGCTTGCACTGATGAAGGTCGAAAAAACCTTTGCCTTTTAAGATGGACTTTGAACTACTCAGGACACATCAGAAACAAAACAATGCTCAAGTCAGCAAAGACAAAGGCACATTTCTGAGCATAGTAGAAGTTCAGTGAGCTGAGCAAAGATCTTGCTTAATGTACCACAAGATTAAGGTTTTATCAGGGTGGAAACAATGGGAACAGTCTTTTAAAGTTAAATTTTTAGTGTAAACTTTAAATTCCAAATTATATTCACTGATTTAGTTTTGATGATAAATGAAATGCATAACTTGAAAAATGCAAAAAACCAAACCAAACCAAAACAAAACTCCATGTACTCACTCAATACTACTTCCAGAAACTATCTTGTCAGATGTTTAGTGTATTTTCTTCTATTATTTCCTTTTCTGACCTATCAAACTTCTGTTCATCCTGTGTGCTCTCTACATATGGCCCAGAGATTCCAGACACTATGCCTTAAGCATGTAGGCTCTACAGGCAGCCCTCCTTGGGTTCTGATTCCAACTCTGCCATGATTGGCATTGAGATGCTAGACAAATTAGTGCCTTACCTCTCTGTGTCTTGGCTTCTTCATCTCCAGGATGGGTTAAGGTTAGCACTTGCCTTAAGAGCTTATTGTGAAGATTACCTGAGACTCCCCCCACCAAAAAAAAAAAGATTACCTGAGACTATGTACATACAGAGATTAGCAGAATTCCTGTACCACAGTAAGCATTGATAGTTGAGAGTTGCTATTTATCAGAGTTCCAGGTTCAGGGCTCCAAAGCACTTCATAAACCTCTCATGGACACTTCATTGTATTTAACCAAGGTTTTATAAACCCTGTCTTTTTCTCTAAACCTTGAACCTTTCAAAATAAGAAATTCTGTTTTATTCAACTTTCTATTCCTTTTGTTTAGTAGGACAACTAGTGGAGTCAGCATGTGCTAGCAAAATATATGGTTAGAGTCATGGTGCATAGGTTTTTGTGTTCTGCTTTCTTTGCTTCAAGCTATGCTTCCTCAGCATTTTCTCAGGTTCCATTATGTTCTTCATTTATTCATATTTTCATTCAGTAAAGACTTACTGAACACTATTTGTAAATTTTTCATTCTTTCAGGTACTAAGGGGTCACACTGGATGGAACAAATTTAGCTCCCTGCCTTCATGCAGCTCATCGCCTAGGAGGTGAAGACAGACAATAAACACACAAAATAAATGCAATATATAGTATGTTATAAGGTAGTGCTATGTATAAGGAAATGAGGGGTGACATGGACTGTGATCAGGCAGAACTCCAATGAAGGTGACTTTTCTCACTTGAACAGCTGTAGAGCACTCTGCTGCAGTAGTATTGTCATCCACCCAGTGAGGGAGTGAGGGACTCGCTTCATTCCCCTCATGCACACTCAAGTTTGTGTATTTTTTTTTCAAGTGATGGGAAGACTTGGAGGAACTCAGCCTAGGAACTCAGCAAAGCCTTAATGGAGGAAAGGAAGTAGGGGAGTTGCAGTAGTTAAGGGCCCACTGTGAGCTGAGCAGGCTACTAGATATATTAGTCACTTCGCACAAACATCTTCTGCAGTCTTCAGTGAAACCCTGAGAGATTAACTATGTATCAGTCAGGGTTTTCTTTCTTTTTTTGGTACCGGGGATTGAACTCGGGTCCTTGTGCTTGCGCAGCAGGCAGCGAAACCACTGAGCTAAATCCCCAGCCCCTATCAGTCAGGGTTTTCTAAAGAAACAGAACTAATAGAACATTTCTGTAGCTCTCTATATACTAGATCTTTATTAATTCTATCTGGAAAGAAATTTATTTTAATGAACTGGCTCACATGATTGTAGTTCACAAGTTGAGATCTGCAGGGCAGACTGGCAGGCTCATAACTCAGGCATGAGTATATGCTATAGTTGTTAGGCTAAATTTCAATGGAAAAAATTTTTTTGTTCTTAAAGGTTTTTAACTGATGAGATGAGATCCACCTACATTATCTATTAATTTCTTTTTTTTTCATTCATTAATTTTATTGGTACATTTTCACAATATGCTGACATTCATTATTGGGAATTTGTACCTTTACATAATATATCTTGTTTATTATTTTTCCCCATTTCCCTGCCCCCTTTTCAAACCCTCCACCCTTCCCTATTTACTGCTGCAGACCAGCTGTAGTCGATGTCGATGCAGGGTAGGAAGGGGAGATGTCCTGGGCCGGTGATGAGAAAAGAACCCTCTCAAGCAATGTTCAGGTTCCCTCTGATAAGTCTCAGGGTCTGATTTATTTTTATATCTTTAAGCAACAGCTAAGAGGCATTGGGCGGAACATGTTTACATTTTAGGTTGCCTTAGCAATTTCTATTGAAGTAAAGGTTATTTTTTGCTAAACAGAGTATATTTTTTCTAAGCTGATTCATTTCATTGAACATCATGAATACACTTTAAAAAATCACAATTGTCCCCTTATTTACCCACATCTAAACAGAACAGAAAGTAACTTAATCAAAATCTTTATATCAGCAGGGGTACAAGCAAGATTTAATCAACTAAGTGTCAAACTTGTGGTCACCAGCTGGCCCTTGAGAAACTGCACGATGGTTAATATAGTTTGCTATTAGCTCTCTATTTTTCTATACCTCTATTCATCTTAACTAAATGTCATTTGGGTTCATAGTT